CCTTATTCATCTTCATTAGGAATATTCATATCTTCATCTTCATTTTAGTTATTTTTTTAGTTTTGATTTTCTTTTTTGTTTTTGGCCTCTTAAATGGCTTTTATTGGATTATATTTGGTTCTTTTTTATAGATTTTCTATTTAATTTTTATATTTTTTCTTTTCTTTTTTCACTTTTTCTCCATTTTCTATTTCTTCATATTCTTTATTTCCACTTTTTTTTTCCAATTCTTCATCTTTTTTCTTCTTTTTATTTTATTTTATTATATTTTGTTTTTAATTTGAATATTAATTTTCAGGAGGGGGGTATTCGTTCCATTATTATTATAAATTTCTATTTATATTACCTCCTCCTACTGGCATTTCATCCCATTTATTTAAATTATTTTTTTTGGGAATATTTTCATCTTTTATTTAATATTATTAATCTCCTTATTCTTCCTATTCCCATTAAACTTCATTTTTTTTCTTATTTTTTACTCTTATAGGCATTTCATCCCATTTATTTATAAAATTTTATTATTTTTGGTTTTTTATTGAAAAACTTTCTTCTTTTTGTTTAAGATTCTGAGTCTTTTTCCCATTAAACTTCATTTTTTTTCATATTCTTAGTTCCTATAGGCATATCATCCCATTCATTTTAAAATTCTGTTAAATTTTAATTTTTATATTCTGATTAATTTTAATATCTAATTATATTTTCTTCATATTGTCTTTTTGTTATTTCTTTTATTACATTTTAAAAATTTCTTTTAGGCTATTTTTATTATTATTATTAATATAACCATTTTCCATTCAAAAAAAAAGATTTATAAGAATTAAAATAATCAATTTTTAAATAATAGATTTAATTTTCAACATTAATTTATTATTCTTTTTGTATTATTTTTAAAATATATATATATATATATATATATATATATATATATATATATAAATACCTTCATCATAATTTTCTTATAATAAACATATTAAATCTTTTATTTTCCCTACAATTTATTTCATATATGGTACTTTTATAATTTATCTAGTTTTCCAACCTAAAACATATGCTTTTAATAATTAATTAAATCTTTAATTTCCTTATTAGTTTAGTCTTTAGTTTCTTTATTAATTTAACCTTTATTATTATTATTAATTGAATTTTTAATTATCTAACTATTAATTAAGTCTATAATTACCTTATTATTTATTTAATTGTTTATTTGTTTAAACATTATTTTATTTTTTTCTGATTTAATAGCCTCGAAATATTTTTTAAATATATACTGCGCAATGCTTAATAAATTAAACCATTAAATATTTTTCATTTTTTTTATTAAATTTTTACTTTTTTGTTTATATAATATTTTTTTTGATTTTATTTTTTTAAATATACCCAAATAAAATCACATATTATTTTAGCAGCTTATCTTTCTCTATTTGTTTAATATTAACTATAATTATTATTCTAATTCATTTTTTTTTAATAATTAAATGAAGTATTTTAAAATTCGCTAATATTTTCTAGCATGAAAGAGCCACTTGGTTCTTAATTATAATCAATTTATTTATATAAAGACATTTTTTTTTAATAAAACTATTTCAGTATTTATTATTATAATTTTTATTTAATTTTTTTAAACAAAAAAAATTGATTAATAATAATATTTCTTATTTATATTTTTGTTAATAAATATAAATATTTAAATTTTTTTTTTAAAAAATAAAATAAAAGCTATTTTTTTTTTTTTTTTTTTTTTTTTACAAATTATTAATATTTATTTGATTGTTTAATAAATTTGAAATATTTTTTTTTGATTTATTATTTTTGGTCATTATATTTTTATATAAAAAATAAATTGTTAAATTTTAACTTAATTATAAATTATTGGCTGCTATATATATAAATTATAAAAAAGTATTCTTAATAAAATCTATATATATATATATTTAATATTATAATTTAACATAAAAAAACCCAAGAATAAACATTTTTTAAATAATATGTATATTTATAAATTAAGTAATAAAGAAAATAATAAATGAATAAATTAATAAAGAAAAAAAAAAAAAAGATTAAAAAAAGTTAATATTAAAATTATAATTTTCAATATATAAAATAAATATTATTTATATTATTATCTTTTGATTTTATTTAATATACATAAAAATTTAAAAATATAAAAAAATATATATTTTTATTTTCAAATGGATTTACTTGAATTAAAAAGAATTTTATCAAGTTCTTCAGATGAAATTTAAGAAACAAATTAACCTACTTCTTAGCCGACATAATAAACTTAACCTAATAAAGTATATAATTAAGAATTAAAAAAAGAAATAATTTAGAAAAACAATAATAATGAATAATATTATCATGCAGATAATAAATTTAATTTCATTTAAGGTATTATTATATTTGTTTTTTAAATATTTTATTTTACTTTTTTATTCAAAATAAAATAGAAAATATATAATATGATACTGATAGTGAAGGAGAAAATTTTGATAATAAAAATTAAAAGTTTTTTATATTATAATATTTTTTATTATTAAAAAAGTTAACTTTTATAAAAAAATAAATAACAGTTAAAAACTAAATAAATAAGATTCGAATAAATATAAATTTTAAGAAAAAGGAAATAAAGATTAAGATAAAAAAAATTCTTAAAATGATTATGAAAATGATAAAAATTAATAAAAAAATTATATGTTTTAAGATAAATATGATAATTATAATGATTAAGGTAAAAATATTAAAATAAAAAATATAAAAAGCATAAAAATATAACAAGATAAAATAATACCTAAAAAAATATTAAGCAAATAATATGATTAAAAATTTTAAGATGATAATAAATTTTAAAAAAATAATAATGTAAAAAAAAATAAAAAAAAATATATTAAATCTAAAAAAAAATATAAATAAAATAATATAGTAGAGAGGAGGAAATAACTATGATAAAAATTACGATAAAAAATAACACTACAACTAAAATTAGTAAAATAAATAAAAAAAATATTGAAATATATTAATAAAAAACAATAAAAGAGACAAAATAATTATTATTATAAAAAGAAGGTAATAAAATTATAAAAAAAAAATTAAAAAAATATATAAATATTAAAAAGATAATAATAAAAAAAGATAGTAGAAAAAAAGGATTTAATAATAAATATAAAAGTAATATATAATATGTAGAAAAAAAAGTTGAAGAGGAAGAGGTAAATCAATCAGAAGAAAAATAAATAAACGAAAAAAATTATGAAAATAAAAATATTAATTAAAAAAATGAATAATAAAATTAAGATAAAAAAATAGATTTAATAAAATAAGAAAATTATGAAAATTAATAGTAATAAAAAAATAAAACATAATTAAAATAATAAAAAACATAATAAGTATAACCTTATATATAACAATAACAATAACAATAGCAATAACAATAATAATAATAATAATAATAATAATAATAATAATAGCAAAAATAATAGTATTAATCCTAATAATATTAAACATAATAATATTAAACATAATAGTTATTATAATAATAATAATATTATTAATAATAATAAACACAATAATAACAATAATAACAATAATAACAATAATAATAATAATAATAATAATAATAATAATAATAATAATAATAATAATAATAATAATAATAATAATATATAAATAAACAATAGTATAATTAATATTCATATGGATATTAATAATAATTATAACATTAATAACCATAATTATAATAAAATTAATTATAAATCTAATAATAATAAACTTTTTTAAATAATAATAATTTTGATTTGCAGTAATAATATTAAGTTTCAAATGTTTAATAATAGGATAACGTCAATAGTGTATTATTTATATATCTATTAAATATTTTTTATTAATATTTTTTGTTTAGAATTAAGATGAACAAAATAAAAAGAAACTTAAGCTTAAAATGAATTCATAAGCTTTTAATTTATAGTCTACTTTAACTAATCCTTTTGAAACATAGAACTTATAATAAGTACCTCCACCTCCCTCTTTTCCTTTTTAATAATAGAATTAGTTGCAATAGAAACTTCAATAATTTTCTATACAAGAATCTAATTTGAATATATAATAATAAGAAAATAAAAAGTTTTATTTTATATATATATTTTTTTTGTTTTATTTTTTTATTTTAAATAGAAAAAAATAATTATAACTTAAAAATTATGCTTTTGGTGTTTAATGAAAAAAACAAATTTAATTTTTCTAATAAAGACATATTATATATTTAATATTTTTTATTTTTAAGAAGACCAAATATTAATTTTGAAAAAAAACTTATGATCTTAAGATTAAAAAAAGATTTAAATAATTTAATTAATTTAATAAAATATTATTATTAATTAAATTGTTATTTGTTAAATTTATTTAATAGATTTTTTTTTTTTTTTTTCCTAAATTTATTTTATTATAAAATTAGAATATATAGTATTTTTAAAAAAAAATATTTAAATTAGCTTATTTCATTTTTTATTAAGTTTATCTATAATAAAAGTATTTTACATAAAAAAATTATGTTTATAATTAATTATATCTAGAAAGTTTAAAATCTTATAACTTTTAACAATTATAAATTAAAACACATTAATTATTAAATTAATATTTATTAAATATATCTTTAGACATTGTTATTAAAATATTAGGCTACTTAAATATATATATATATATATATATTAAAGTAAATTATATTCTATTTTATTATATTTTTTAAAATATTGTATATAACAATTGAATATTTTTTTATTTAGAAAATAATTTAAATGTAAAAAAATGATTATGATTAAGATAAATTTAACTTTTTTATAAAAATATAAAAAATATACAATTTTTTTAAATAATTCAAATAATCAATTAAATTTAATATTGCTTTTTTATAATCATTTTTTTTTTTATAGAAAAAAATAAATATTATTTTCAATTAAAAAAAAAAAGAAGAAAAAAAATAAAAAAAAATATATATATATATATAAAAAATGATAAATTACCACGACGTTCGTTATAAAAGAACACTTTGCAAAAACTTTTAAACAAGTAAAAAATTATATAAAATATATAGAAGTTACATTTATAATATATACAAAAAAAGCTGGGTAATGTGTTATGGGAATAAGATGTCATTTTGCTCATGGATAAGAAGAAATAAGAAATCCAGCAATTGATGTATTATATATTTCGTATATATATAAAAAAAATATTTTTATTGAAAATCAAAGCCATTAGTATAGTATCCTGCTTTAGCAGCCTTAATGTAAAATCCAGCAGCTTTGTCTAGTAAGTTAGTTAGATGTAAATATAATGATATTGGTTCTTGTAAATACGGAGCTTCGTGCCATTATTCTCATGGTGAACCTTAACTATAATAATAAATTCTTGCTTAATAATAATATTAAGAAATGCTATATTAAAATTAATTACATTAACAATAAATATATTAATAATAATAATAATTACCATATAATTATTATCAAACAAGTCCTTAATCAGCATATCAATAAAGTTAACCTTATTAATAAGTTCCATAATAAGTTGTAAATATATATATATATATATATATATACATATATATATATTTTTTATTAATAAAATATATATAGATAACCCCTGAATAAAAAAAATAAATTACAGTTTATTAATTATAATTTATTATAAAAGAAATAACTAAGCTTAATATTGCAAGTGAATATATGGCTATTGTATAAAGAGCAGCTGAAATATTAGCTGTCTAAAATGTATAAGGATGCTCTTAATTATTAAATGTAATATATAAAAAAATAAATTATATTTTATTTTTATAAAATATATTTATTTATAATTTAATTTTAGGAAGTTATAAACAGAACTGATTGCTCACCAGAAGAAAAAAAATAATACGAATAAATAATTAGCTAAGCCTAATAATTAGCTGTAAATTTAATGACTTAATTTTCAAGTCCTTAATAATAATAATTATAACAATAACCATTATAATAATAAATATGATGATTGTACTCACTTATTAAGGACATTTTTTTTTTTTTTGATAATCCTTTTAATACCAGAGTTTTATCTTTTTGATTAATAATAGGGTTTTTAAAAAAAATAAAAATAAAATATTATTTTTTATTTTATATATATATATAAAAATAAAAAAAAAAAAATTAAAAAATTTAATTGTATATTTTATAAAATAAAAAAATAAAAAAAAAATAATTAGTTAAATAATGGTAATTATAAGACAATTTATTTCAGTATTTCAAGCATTTTTCAATTAATTAATAAATTAAATTTTTTTAAATTTATTTATAAGTAAGAAAAAAAAAAAAAAAATAAAAAAAAAACTTCATTTAAAAAAATAAAAAAACTTCTTTTAAAATAAAAAAAACTTCTTTTTTTTTTTTAAAAAAAAAAAAAAACCCTTATTAATTATCAAAAATATCTTTATTTTCAAAAAAAAAAATTTAAATAAAAAATATTTTTTTTTTAAACCCAAAATATAATTTTTTACTTTTTTAAAAATATTTTAAATAAATAAAAAAATTAAAAAAAAAAAAAATTTTATTTTAATTTCTTTTTAGATTTAAAATGAATAATTTATAATTAATTTTTTTTTTTTTTTAAAAGAAAAAAATAAAATAAAAATATTCTAAATAATGTACTAAATTATTATAAACTAAAAGAACTAAAATAAATTAACGATTAAAACAGATAAATTTCTTGATATATACCTTTACTAATAATTAAAATCAAAAAAGTAAATTAAAATATAAAAAATTCCTAAAATGAATATAATATAAATGTTAATTTTATTTAAAAAAAAAAAAACATAATTAATGTACTAATTATATAAAAAAATTAATAAAAACTATAATAAATTCTCCTTTATGCAAATATTTTTTTATATTGTATAAAAAATAAATACAATATAATTTATTATTATTAAATATTTATAGTAAAGATAATGAAATATGTATATATTTTATAATAGTATAAAATTATTAAGTGTATAATATAGAATAATTTATAATAAAAAAAATATTTATATACATAAAACATTAATTTAAATTTGTTTTAGTACAAATAAAATAATATAACATAAATAATAAAAAGAATTAATATTTTTTCATTTAATAATTTTTAAATAAAAATAAAAGAATTTTAATAATTAAAAAAAAAAAAAACATTAATTTATTAATAATAATATAAAATAAAGCAAAAAACACAAAAATCACATATTCATTTTAAATATACGACAAAGTCCATCTCCTCCTGCAGTAGCAAATAATTCTCCTTTATTACCGAAATCCACCGTATCGACTTCTTTTGAAAATTCCGTAATACAACAAAAAGCTTTATTTTAATTATCCCTATCAAATAGCTTTACTTCATTCGTATTCGAACCTCCTGCTAAAATAAATGTTCCACCCTCATCTTTAGAAAATTATCCAGCATATAAAAATACTGGAGCATTACTCTTAAGTGTTACATCCCAATCAATATCACTAACTAATTTATAAGTTCTTCTATCCCAAATTTAAAGTTGATTAGTTTCCGTCCAAGAAGAAGTAAGAATATAATTTCCATTTAAATCAATTCCATCTCCGCAAATAAGAGGTCCATAAATACCTTTTTATAAAGCCTTTTTTTCCCTCACATCCCATATGACTACTCTAAAATCCCAACCTCCTGTATAAAGTATATTATAATCTTCTTTATCATATTTAATACAAAAAACACGCGAACTATGTCCTGAAGTTGACATTTAATCACCTCCAAGCTTTAATATTTATTCTCTTGTTTCTTCGTCATATACTCTTATCTTTTTTTTTTTTTATTTTTTTTTATTTTATTTTTTTACTATTGGTTCACTACCACATACAGCAAAATTTGTTGCATTTATATTATAATCCATACAATATAATTATGGATCAAAGCTATCTACTTTTTTTAAAGAAAGAAGTTTTCCAGAAGCTAAATGAAAATGCTATATTTCTCCTTCTGAACTAAGAGATACAAATACATTTCGTGTTTTCTAAGATTATCCTTATGGTCTCCAACGAACATAACTAAATGGAATATTTGGTCTAGATGAAAAAAAAGTGTACGATAATTTTCCAGATTTTGTATTAAAAATTCTAATTTCACCATTTTCACATGCTTATTTTATATATATATATATATATATATTTTTTTTTATATGTTTTATTTATTATTATATATTTAGTTATTACCACATGCTACATATTTATCTTCATGATCAAATTTTACGGAAAATATTTTTGTATTGGCATTTCCTAATACATATTTATTTTCTATTGTTATATCAGTTCCTTATACATGATCAATTCTTGTTTATTTTAATTTGATTTGCTATTTTCTATTAAAGATTATTTTTTTTACCTTTATGAACGAGATATTGGAACTACCTTTGGTTTCTCCGATTAATGACCATCAACAGGCTATTTTGATGATTTAGGGGTACCTGGTAAACTACTTTACATTTAATAATGGTTTTTTTTTATTTGTATTAATTTTTTATAATTTTATAATTTAGAAAAAAAAAAAAAAAAAAAAGTTTTATTTTAAAAAATTTATATAAATAATTATTTATTAACTTTTATAAATTTGAATAATATAAAAACTATAATTGTTTAATTAATATGCTGTGTAGATTAATTTTTATTTATATACATTTATTTTAGTTTGATTAAATCTATTTATATAGGTAATAAAAAAATTTATAATTATATTATGAAGTTAACTTATACTAAATTTTTTAAAAAATTAAAGTTTATTATTATTTAACAAATAAAAAATATTTTTTATTGATATTTAATTATTTATTTTTTAATAAAAAAATATTACATAATAATATTCATATTAAAAAATTAGAATACAATTAAAAATATAATAATGTTAATAATGTTTAAGCTATAATGATTGCAATAAAAAATAAATAAAATAAAAATACTAAATTTCATTATTAAAATAGTTTTAATATATTTTATTTAAAATTAACTTTATAATTAAAATATAAAAAAAATGAAAATATTTTATTTTTAATTTTTAAAATAAATTAACATAAAAAATTTATTTAATTTATTTAAAAATATCAATTATATATATAAAATATAATAATAATAAAAAAAAAAAAAATAGAAAAATCATTTATTATAATTCAACAAAGCCTCATGATTCTTTTCTCTATTTTCTTCCGATTTATGAGTTTTTCCTCTAATAGGTTAAATACCTCCTTAAATAGCTTAAGTCATCTAATTACCTTATTACCCTTCTACATACTAAGGTTGGCTTTCTGTGATTCCCAAATCTTCTTTATAAGTCCATTTTCTAATATAATAGCTTCCCACAAACGCTAGAACTCCAAAAACAACAAAAATATTAATTTTAAGTTCATCCATTAACATTTTATAGAAAGGAACAGCTGCACTCAATCCTAAAGTTGCCATATTTGACAAAGTAAAGAGTAAAACTAAATACCTATAAGGCATTAATTATGGAACTACAATAAGTAAACCACCTACAATTATTGATTTGAAATATTTGGACATAACAATCGGTCCCATTTCGATTAAATAGCTTGATTTATCACCTACTCCAATTGTAAATACTTGAATAAAACCAGCTATTATAGAAGATATGAACATTACATTTCTTGTTGGGAAATTCAAAACAAAAATCCAGGCTAAAAATGCACCAAAAACGTCAAAGAATTAACTTATGAGAAGATTTTGTAAAAATGAACCATGTCTAATGTCGTTGAATACTAAAAAGGAACTCGTATAGGCTAAACATGATGTAACCCAAGTTACTAAATACATTATTGTGTTATTTAAAAGTTTTGGTTAGGTGATTAATTCAGCATATTTATGAAATAATTCTGTTATGAAATTATTAGTATCTATTCTTGCTAATCTTTTTTTTTTTTTTTAGTATAATTAAAATAATTAATTTTATTTATTTAAATATTTGAATCGATAAAATTTATTTAATTTAATGTAAAAAATTAATATTTTTTTGTGTTTATCAGTTTTATTTACCTTGATTTTTCTTATTTTACTACTTCATTTTAATCGTTTCTATAATCATAAGTATAAAACCACATTATTCCGAAAATCAAAAGTGGAATAGCTGTAAAATTGACTAAATGATCTTTCCAATTTCCATTAGAATTAGCATACCATAAATAAAAAAGCCCAAAAAAAGGTTATATAAATCCAAGTGCTACAGGGGCTACATTATTAATAGTAGCAGAATAAACATCACAAATATAAGCATATTATTATCCAAAATAGAATGCGAAAAGTAGATTCCATCCAAAAAGAACAATAGTAAGGAAAAAAGCATTCAATACAACAACTTTAACAGAACAAAGCCAAAAAAACTCGATTATGACAGTAAAAAATAACATTTTAGCTTTATGGGGCTTAGGAATTTCAAAAAGCATATTTAATAAATAGCCTACTACTTATCCAATTAAAGAAAAACTAAGCATAGCAGATTCTTATAATTTTTATTAGCCACATAAAAGATTAAATTCCATAGATATACTTTTATAGTGTTCATTTTCATCTTTATAAAAATAAATAATATAAAATTTATATTAATTATTATATATTTATGTATTTTAAGTAAAAAAAAAAATTAAATTATAAACAAATTAAAGTTTTTAATAATAATAAAAAATTTAATGTAAATATAAAAAATAAAAATAAAAATACTAAAAGTTATAAAAAATAAAATAAGAAAAAATTATAAATGTATAATAAAAACGAAATTTATGTTTATATATAAATATATATATATATATATATATATATATATATATATATATATATATTTATATAGTTTTTTTTTTATACATATTTATTTATATTTTACTATATTTATATTCATATTTGTTTTGGCACATTTATTATTCTGTACATGATTACCATTAATTTTCTATTTTACACATCAATGATTAAGGATGATAAAAAAGAAAAGGAATACTTAATCCAACTGTTACTTAAATACCGAAAAGGAAGCATAAAACAACAAACTAAAGCTTCATTTAAGGATGTGTTTAATCAGAAAGATTAAAGTTTAAAACACCATATTTATCCATTTTTTTTTTATATTTTATTTTTTAAAATTAAATAATTTAATTTTTTTGATTTGCTTAATTTTTTTTTTCTTTTTTATTTATATTTTTTTTATTTTTTCGAGTGTTATAATTTTTAAGTATATTATATATTTAAAATAATAAATTAAAATTATTATTAATAAAATAAATACAAAAAGCTTTAACTAATATATATTTATTAAAATACTTTTTATATTATAAACAAATTTTTATAAAAAAAATAAATATAATATAATCATTATAATAAATATATAATATATTATTAATATATATATATATATATATATATATAAAATATTATTTTAAAAAATAAACATATAAAATTATATATATATATATATAAATATATGTATAAAATAAAAACTTTTTTATATTATTTCATTTTATTTAAAAAAAAAATATAATATTAATATAAAAAAAAAATATATAAATAATATAAATATTGTATAAATAATGAATTTAATTAATTAAATAAAAACAGTTGTAAAAAAAAGATAATATAATATATTATTTTTATTAAATACGATATATTAATAAAAAAAAATTTTTATACATATATATATATATATATTTATATATATATATATTTATATTTATATTTATATATCTTTTTTTTCTTATTTAATTTCATTCTATATTTTTAATTTTGAAATATTATATATAATAATATTTAAACAAAATATTCATCAATCAAAATTCTAAAATTTTTATTGTTTTTCTAAATTAATAACTTATTTAATTATTGGAAACAAATAATTATTAATCAAATTCTACTTAATTTCCATATTATATAAATTTTCCTTTTATTAAAAATTAGTAAGAATAGCCTATATTTTCTGTAGAATTTCATTTATTTTAATATTTTTCTAACTTTTATTATTATTTTCAATAATAACAATTCTTTTTTTAATCACTTTTTCATAGTTAGAGATTAAAAGTTAGTCAATTTTAATATTTTAGTTAATGTTTTCTTAAAAATCTTCAAATTATTTTAAATCATTTAAATTATAAACTGGTTCTAAAGCAATAACTCCATCAAACAAATTAATTAATTAAGTAAAATAAAGGAGACTATTAAACCCTCCCGAAGCAAAAACACCCACACTATAAAATTTACAATGAGCAGGAAATTTTTTTTTCAACTACATTATAATATTTTAAATATTATTTTCATTGTATTAATATAAATCCTCACTTCCAGATAAAGATACGAAAACAGCCTTCAATTCTTTCATTAAAGACTCAAAATTATGTGTACCATTATATAAAGTATTAAAATAATTAAAATCGTAATTTTTAAAATCATTGAAAAAAATAAATACATTTTCAACTTCTTTTTCTTTATAATATCGATTATTTATTATCTAATATTTCGTATTTTGATAAGTAAATGTCTATATTAATCCTTTTGGAGTTCCTTCCTTTTTGCATATATTATCTTATATATCGGGTTCGAAACCTTCAAAACATTAATAAAGACATTTATTTAAATATAGAAATTGCTTATTTTCACATTACATAGATTTTGAATATTATTCCTTTTAATATATATTTTTTTTTTGAGTGCAAATAGTATAAAGTAAATAGTTAAAATTATAATAATTATAAATAATATCTTTTTAGTTATGGTTTATTCTTTTTTTTCGTGTATTTATTCTGATAAAACGTCTGTATTAATATCTATTTATTAATATTATTTATTTAATCTTTTCATATTATTATTAATAAAAAAAGCTATTATAAATTTTTAATATTATTTTTTTTTTTTTTAATTTAATAAATATTTATTTATTTTTTTATTTTATATATTTTTTTTGTCGATAAAAAAAAAATGTATAATGGTTAATCCTAAGTAAAATATTATTAATTTAATTTTTTTTTTTATTATTTTATAAATAAATAAATTAAAGAACGGGAATGAATTAAAAGTAAATTGAATTATTATTTTATTATATTCAATTGTTTTTAATTACAAAAATTATTCGTGTTTTTTAAGGATGAACTAATTGATTGTAAATAATAAATGGGTTAATTAAGCAATGATGGAATGAGAATTATATAATAAATTTCATAGATTTTAAATTAATTAGATAAATTAGTAAATAAAATAATACTTAAAAAAATAAAATTAATTTATAAAAAATAAGATTCCTAATTTAGAAATTCGATTAGATAATAAAAAATTAAGATAATAAGTGTAATAAAAATAATAACTAATGAAAAATATATTTATAAATATATATTAAAAAAAATTAAAAAAAAAACAATATAATAATAAAGAACTGATTAAATTAATTAATGTACACAAGAATTAAATAATGTAAAAAACATTATAAATTAAATTAGTTAAATTTAATTCAATGATAAAATACAATTAGTACATTATATATATATATATACATTTAAATAAACAATATTTAAAAATAATTATTAATATAAATATATATATATATGTAATATATTCATATATTTATATATATATTTATTTATATAATATTTACATATAAGGAAAACAAAGAATAAAAATTAAAATTTTGGCAAATTAATTCTAATTAAATAAAGATAGATTTACAAAATAAATTGATAAATATAAAAATTTGGAATCTAATTAAGTCAGAATTTTAAGATAATCTAATTCTAGATTATCTTTAGGAATAGATTAAAAGCAGTATATTTTATAAAAATATAAAGAAAAATTTGTTTATTAAACTATAACATTATTTTTATAAAAAGATTATAAGCACAATAAATAAAAATTTAAGACATGAAGAGGAATTATTAAATGAAAGATAATAAGAATTATAAAAAATTGAAAAATAATTAGATAATGTTGTAAGTATGATTATAGATTTTGATTAAGAAGTAACTAAATAAGGAATTATGATTAAAGAAGTTAAATAAAATGTTTAAAAAACAGTATAAACGACAAATGATACAACAAAAATAATGTAAGATACAAAAAATTTAGCAGATTAAAATAGAAATAACACGTAAAAAATAAAATAAAAATATGAAAATTATTTTTAAAATATAAAAAATAAAATATTAAAAATTAAATGTAAGAAATAATAAAAAAAAAATAAGAAAATATTATATTATATTATAATATTAATAATTTTATTTATTAAAATAACGCTTTATTTAAATATTATATAAAAAATATAGAACTTCTCTATGTATGTTAATAACAGTTATTATATTGATTCTTATTTTAATGGTAGTAGCATGAAAAATAATTGATATAAATATAAATATATATATATATATATTTAAATTTAAATATATATATATATTTAATTATTTATATTTATACATTAATTATATATATAATCGTTTTGGATTTTTATTTAATTAAAATATATAATATATAATATTTATAAATATTATAAATTATATTTATGAATTTTCTTTTTTCTATCATTTATTAAAAGATATATTATATGAACCATTATCATTTTAATTTAATTTAAAACTATCTAAGCTTAGACCAAATTTACCTAAAATAGTATTTCCTAAATCTTTTAACCCGCTTAATACTTCTTTTTTTTCTTTTCTTATTATTCTTCGACTTTTTTACTCATTTAATATATTCTTGCTTTTAAATCTTTGTCATTAGGATCAATTTTTTCTAATGCTTTCAAATCTTTTTATTATTATAAAGATATATTAAATAAATAAATAAATAAATATTTAAGAATATTTACCTTCTAAAGCATCTTCTTCTCTTTCAGTTTTTTCGAATGCTATAATTCTATTTAAATATGGTTTTTTGAAATTTTCATCAAGCTTTATTGATTTAGTAGTATATTGAATAACTGTTTCATAATCATTTTTTTTAAATAAGCTATTGCTAAATTGGAATAGCATATTGATTTTTATTTTGTTTCTATTTTTGGACAATACATTATAGCTTTTTCGTATTATTCTATTGCCTAATTTTTATTTTTATATTATATAAAATAAAGATTTTTTATTTATTACATCATCTAATAATTATTCTTTAAAGAATTTATTTCCTGCATCTTTATATTATAATACTTTTTCTAATGTCTTTTATTTATTTTTATTGGAAATATAATTTAATTTGTCTTATTTTTTGTTTTAATTACTTTTTCACTTTCTTATATTTATTATTCATCTTCAAAATTTAATTCATCATGCTCGTCTTACTTTAATTAATATAAAATAATTATAAAATATATATATATATATATATATGTATATATATATATATTGTTTTTAATTTTATTTTATATATCATACACTATTAATTGATTTATTGTCTTTATTTATATTGTTTTCTGTATTTTCGATATCTTAATTCATTTTTATTTTTAAATTTTTATAAATATATAATATAATTGTATTTAATTAATCTTTATAAAAATAATAATTTAAAAAAATTAATAATATTAAAAATTTTAATATAAAATTAAAATAATATATTTAAATTAAATATACATATATAATTATTTATATATATATATATATATATTTATATTATTTAAGATATCTAAAATTTAAAATTATACAAATAAATTTATTAATAAGATTTAAATAAGAGATATTTCATTTTTTTATTTTATTTTAATTATAAAAAATCAATAAAAAAATAAATATATATAACCTATTAATAATATATTTTATATTAAATAAAAAAAAAATCATATTTTATATAAAATATAAATAAGAAAATAGAAAAAATGTAAAAGGCAAAATAAAATTCACTTTTCATTTTAGATTCTGAAAATTTAAGTATTTTATTTTATAATTTATATATTTTTATATAAAATAAATAAATAAACAATTAAATTTTAAAAAGATGAAACTCCAGAATCTATTGAAAAATAAATAAACATAAATATTTTATAAAAGCAAGGCAATTTATGGAATTTATTAATAAAAAATAGATTTCAGATAAAATCAGCAGTAGATTAAACTGAAGATGTACCAAACAACATTTTCGAAGAGATAAAAACTAACAAAACAATAATAGAATAGAATAAAATAATAGAAACAAAACCAGAAGATAATTCCAAAATAATGGTAATTTAGTAAAAAAATACGTAAGAGTCTGAATATTTTTCCTCTACAATATTTGAATATATACTTTTTAATAAATTAATTCCCGAAATATTCAACGAAGAGTATTTTACAGATAATTCTGAATATATATTAATATAAAAAGTAAATAATATTGCAGAAATATATTTAAAAAAAGTAAATTTATATGTCCTTTTATATAATTTTTAAAATGAAAACGAAAGTGAAAAATTTATTTAAAAAAATTTAAAATATCAAGAGGAAATTTTTTCTGAAAATATTGGAAAAATTTAATTTTATAAAAGTCTTTATTGTATATAAGAATTGGGTGAATTTACACTTTTTGATTATGCAAATTATATACAAATAATAGAAAATGAATAATAAAAAAAAGAAGAAAAATTAATATAAGTATTATATATACTCTTAGATGCCATAATTAAAATAATTACTGGAAATACATATTTCGTAGGAAATATTAAGGCTAAAAATATATACTTAAAAACAAAAGAAAACTCATAAATATAAGTAATTTTTAACTAAATAAAAGAATAAAAAAATGAAAATTACTCAAAAATTATAGATAAAGAGTATTCTAATATCATTTCGAATGTCCCAAATTCGTCTGAAATAAGCTATTCAGAAATATTTGCTTGTTGTAGGGTAATTTAGGAAATGATAGATAGAGATGAGTACTATTTTTAAAAAAGAAATATTAACTAATTTATAAAAATATAAGAAAAAAAATACCCTTAATTGTTAAAAATATTAAGCTTTTTTTTAATAAAAAATAAGAATAGATTCATAAAATAGATTATTTGCATAGATTCAATTTAATAATTTATATGGAATTCAGTAAAAAAAGATTAAAGAGTAATTTAAATATAAAATAAAATTTAAATTTAGGATTTAATTAAAAATAGTAAAATTCATTTAGGAAATTAATTCTATAATAAAAAAAATAAAAATGAAATTTTAGAATAAGAAGATTTTTAATTTTCCTTTAAAAATTATTACATTTAAATAAAATTTTAGGATGCATTTTGCGATAAAGAAATAAAATATATAATAAAATTTTAATTATTTATATTATAAAAATATATACTTTTAAATAAATATGATAATAATAATAATAATAATAATAATAATAATAATAATAATGTTTTTTTCTAATGTATAAATTTACTTATTTTTGATCCTAAAATATTTAGACGTAATAAGGTTTTATAAAGGAATACTTATCTCATTTTTATTTAATTTTCTTTAAAGTTTTTTTTCAAAATAGAAAAAATTTTATCATATTTTAAATTTTTAAATTAATCTTCTCCATCTATTTTAAATGAAAATAATTTCGCTACTTCTCCTTCTAATTCTGTTCTTTTTTATTTTTAGGGAATTTTTCATTTACTTTCTTTTTAAGAATAAAATTCATAAAAATACTTCTAGTTAAGTTTCTAACATAGGGAATTTATTGATGATTTAATAGAAAATAAAAACTAAAAAAATCTATAAAACAATTAAAACTAAATAAATGATAATAATATAGATAATATTTATATACATCCAAATTTTTAAGAAAATGGAATTATACACAAATTTTTTTAAGAACTAAGAATTTGTTATGGTTTATTAGCATATTACAAAGCTTTTTTATTTACTTTAGATATTTAAAAATTATCTGATTTTTCTAAATCTATTAAAATTAAAGATTATTAACATTTGTTTATAAAAGTTTTATAAAATGAAATCTATTTTGCGTAAAACATGTATATATTCTTATAAACAAATGATCAGTTTTCCATAAATATAATCAAAGACAGTTCGTTTAATAAATAATAATTTCTAGTGACATTCTAAAATATTGAAAAGAATCTAAAAAAGATAGAAAGTATACAAGAAATTTCCAAAAACGATACAATCTTAAATTAAATATGTAATCTAAATATTCTGTAAACTTAAAACTAAATAATAATTGGTACAAAAATAAAGAACTACTTAAAATCATGAAATATATATAATATGCAAATAAATATATAAAATAATTATATTTATATTTATATTTTTTATATATTAATAATTTAATATTATCTTTAATTCTTTTATATTATTTTAAATATATTCTTAATTTATATTTTTTTAAGTAATAATAATATATGATATTTTATTATTAAAGAATTGAAAATTTTTTTTTTTTTTTTTAAGAAATAATATAATAAAATAATCAATGTAATTAAGCACATTTTTTGAAATCATAAATATTTTACTCATTATAATTTTCCACCTAAATTGTTGAATGTACAATACCCAATTACTTACATAATTTCGTAGCTTGAAAAAGACTTAAAGATGGACTATTACTCGTCAAATGTGCAGAAAGGGAGATAAATCCCGGATTTAAACTCCAAACATGTAAATCATGTACATCGATAACTCCTTAAACCTTCACTAACTAATCTTTTAAAAAATCATAATTAATATTATCTGGTTATCCTTCCATTAAAACTTTTATACTTTCCTTCATTACTGGTAAGGTAGTAAAAGTAACTACTATTGTAAATAAAATAGTAATAATAGGATCTGCTATATAGTAATCTTCTCCACCAAAATATACAAAAGAAGCTCCAATAATAACCCCGGCACTTTAAATAGTATCTCCTAAAATATGTATTTAAGCCGCTTTCATGCTCATATTTTTCTATTTCTCATCTTTTTATAAAAGAGATCTAGCGGAAATCTCAATTTCAGATAAAAGTTCTTCTTATTTTTGTTCTTCCTTTTGCACATTTCCTTCCAAAATTCTCATTAAAATAAGATTAAAAAGTAAACCACAAATAGATAAAATCATCATTGGAACTCCTTATATTTAGGGAGGATTCATTAATCTTTCTATTCCTTCTAAAAACATCCAAATAATTAATCCCCAAATAATTAATATTGAAAATGTAGCGCCTATAATTTCTGCCCTATGATAACCGAATGTCATTTTTTTATTAGCTTCTATTCTACTTACATAGATAGCAGTTATTGTTATGATAAAGCCAACAACGTCAGATAATAAATGGACTGCGTCAGTCATAATGGCTAATGAGTTAGATAAATAACCTCCGATGAATTCTATACACATAAATGAGAAAGATACACAACATACTGTCTTAAGGGCCTTCAGAGCAGAAGCTTTATTTTTTTGCAAATCGGGAGTTAAATATATTTTATCATTATTGTTTATATTTTATTCCATTTATATGATTTAGAGATAACGAGATGATAAATTGTTTAGAGATGACATAATAGAGAATGTTTTTATTTTTTGATTATAAAATATAAATATTTTTTATATTTATTTTAATTTATAAAACTATAAATTAATCTTTTAAATAAGCATAAATAAAAAAATATACTAATATATATATATATTTATATATATATATATATATATATATATATATAATATAATATTTTTATATTATATATCTATAACTTATATATTTTTTTATTTATATATATATATAAACATAATTATTTATTTATGTTTATTTAATATCTTATTTTTTTTAAAAATTTGTATTATTTTAAATAATTTAAATCTTAAATAATTTACATTTATTTTTTCTTAAAAATATATTTTACAATTTTTTTTTTATATTAAATGAATTTATTAATAATCTTATTTATGTTTTTATAAATTCATTAAATATATTCATTTTAAATTTACTTGCTTTATTAATCAATAAAAAAAGTGTCCTTATAAAAGTACCTTTTTTCCTTTTTTTTTAACATTATTTTTAATAGTTTACTAAATTGTTTAATTTTTTTTTTATTCTAAATCTTTAATTTAATCCCATTATTCATCCCATTCACCAATACTTATTTATGTAATATTTTTTTTTATATATAAAATAAATGTAAATATTTTTTTAAAGTAAATTATACTTTTTTAATTCTTGTTATTTTTCTTTTTCTTCATGCTTTTCTTCTTAATTTTAACATTTAGGTAATTCTAATAACGGATAATGTATTTCTTCACTTTTTTTAATATATAAAATATTACTTTTAATTATAAATATATTATTTACGTTGGTACAAAATCTTAAGATATTTTGATAAGTCCGTTTTATAAATAATAATCTCTATCGTAATGCTAACCATGAAATTATATTTATAATTATCGTTTTTAAAGATTTTTAGTTTCTTTTTCTTCTTTTAATTAACTCTACTTTTTGATAAGATTAATTTCATTTTAATTTCTTTACAAATTTTACAATGATAGTATATTTTACATATTTAACTCTACAAATATAACATCAGAATATGGTGGTAAAAAACTTAAATACCTATTAAATAAATAAAATGAATTTAATATATATAAATATATATATATATATATTTATATATTTTTTAATATATATTTATATATATTTTTAAAATAACTTTATAAATATATAAAATATATATTTTGTTATATATATTTTATTAATTTATTCTTTATTTATCAATTTAAAAAAAGTTTATTAACATTTAACTTTACATTTTCTATTATTATAATTTCATTTAATTAAAATAAAAGAATAATTTTTAAAAATAATATTTTTTTAAACTATTTATAAATAATATAATTTATATACTTGCATTTTTTTTAAAGTTTATTATCATAAATCTAACTTTAAATATTGATTATTTAACCATTTATATTTAAAGGAGGAAATTTATTTTATTTTTAATATTCTTCCATTATATATTTTTAATTAATTATATCTAAAAATATGAGTTATCCATTTGCTTCTTAATATATAAATTCTAAATCATTTTAGTTATTTTATAAATAAATTTAATCTATATTTGAAGAATAAAAAGATTATTATTCTTTTTTTTATTAATTATTTATTTTCTTAATAAATTATTATATTTTTTATTCATTTATTTCTAATCCCTTATTTATTTAATATATATATATTTAATATTTATAATTTATAAAATAAATTAAAAATATATATTACTTATTCTATATAAGGAATAAAGCTTCCATCATCTTAATTAATTGACTCTTGTAACAAAGCCATTAATTCATCTTTTTCTTTAAGTAAAACTTATTCATATATATAATTATCACTTGCTACTATAATTCTAGAAAATTTATATTCTTCTTATAAAGTATTTGCATTATATAGTTTTTATTCATCTTTTCTTTTTATTAATAATTGAAAATTTATTTCTTAATTAATTTGTTTTTATTCAAATATTTCTATTTTTGCCATTCTCAACTCTTCTTTAGGTGCATATTCATTACATAAAGGACAATACAACCTCGAATCAGCTTTTTTTTTTTTTTAATAATAATTAAAATAAAATAAATATAAAAAATGATATTATTTATACAAATATCTTCATGCCTCAAAAAGCAATGCATGCAATAAATATGCCCACAAGATGTTATTTAAGGCGCGACTATTTCATATGTTTTAGACATACAAATAGGGCAAGAAATATCATCAATAAAGGAAGGAACTATTACCTAAGTTACTCTATTCCATTCAATTTATTTATTTGGTTCATATACTAATCATATATACATTATTTTTTAATAATTATATATTTATTTTTTTAACGTGTATGATCTACTTAATCTTTAGTAATAACTAAACGAAATTTAGATTTTGTATATAGTCCTAATCTTTATTTAATTTCTTATTTGGATATTTTCTTCTTTTAATTTCTCATTTTTTTATAATTTTATAAATCATATAATTCATCATCATCTTCGTTCCCATATTAAAAACCTATTAAACCTATTTCAAATGCTTATTAAAGTTAATATTAATATATCTTTTTATTTTATTAATTGTTCTTTTCTTATAACTAGGTTTTTTCTTGGGTTTATTACATCATTTGTTGGTTTTTTTATTTTTTTTAACAACAATATAACTTTGTAAAATTATATATAATAATATTAAATATATATAAATTTTTAAAATTTATTTATAATAAAAAATATAATATATAAATTAAAATTCTGATTAATATATAATATTTATTTCTTGAAATAAGATATATGCATATATTAAATTAAATCATAGTAATAATTTTTTGAAATTAAATGTAATTTTAAATTTGAAAATAAAATAGATAAAATAAACATAATAAATTTAAAAAAAGTAATAATAAAATATATATATTTCAAAATACAAATTCTTTAATAAATTTCTTAAAATCATTATTATTAAATTTATTTTTGCATTATTATTAAGCATGTAAAGGACAATAAATGCCTAATTATAAAATATTAATATTATCAATATCAATATTATCTTTTCCTGTCAACATAGCATCGAAAAGTATTTAATTAGTATCTGAAATTTATTATAAGAGACATTAGTAACATACTTTATGTTAACATACACTTAAAGTTAAAGATTTATTATTATCTTAACACATCAAAAAATAATGATATATTTTAGAATCATTATTAGCATTTAAATTTGTTTTTTCTTTATAAATAATATCTTATTGATTAAAAATATTTTAGTTTAATATTTTGCTCTAATTTTTACTTTTTTTAATTTTAGCAAATTCTGTTTTTACTTATTACTATTCTTCTTGTTATTGTTATAATAATTATTTTATATATTATAATTTTATTATTGTTATTAATAATTCTTTTAATATTATTTATTATTTTATTATTATTAACAAACATTACTTTATTATTACATATCCATATTAAATATTTCATTTCTTAACTTTTAATCATTTTAAAGTAGTTGAAATATTATTTATAAAGCATTTTATTAATAAATTAAATCTTAACATTTAATATTAATTATATTAGAATAATTTTCAGTATATTATTAAATAAGCTAAAGAGGAAATAAATGTAGTATTTATTTTTTAAAAGATAAAAAATTATTTGAATTAGTTTCTTAAAGTTTTATAAAATCAGAAAATGTTTTGTCTACAAATTCAATTATGATTTTATTATTTTCAAAAATAGGTCTTTTACTTACAGAGTAATTATTAATTAAGTCTTTTATTTATTCAGTAAATTTCACATCATATTATTAAATTTTACTTCTAAATAATTAATTATTAATAAACTAAACAAAATTATCTTCATTTAATTAATATATTAAAGGAGAAAATTATTTTTTATTTTATAAGTAATAATATTATTAATTTTATTAGTAATAAATACCATCTAAATATTATATTAAATTTTAAACCTAAGCAGTTGTGTATGGAGATAAATTTAAATTTATTAACAAAAGTAAAAAATCATCTTCATTTTCACTAAGTTAACTTATCTATAGGTCATTTATTTAGCTTTTTATTAATAATTGTATTTAAGATATAAGTTATTGAGATAATCTTATGTTTAAAAATTAAAGAAGACTAATAAATTTTATTGTTTATTATTAAGGAATACTAATAGATTTATTAACTAAAAATTCAATAAATAATTTTAAATTCTAAATTTTGTAATTATTAAATTTAGTTAAATCTAAATAATTATTATTAATACCTTTAAAAAAAGTATTTTCTAACGAAATTCTTTATAGCAATTAAAAAAAATTTTCATTTAAATATAAAATTCCATCAATGCATTTTATTGTTAAACTAATTTAATTATAATCCTATGATAACACTTCTTAAAATAATTTTATAATTCTTTATTCGCCAGCTTATTATATATTAATATCCAGTTATTATTAATTAAATAATAGAATGAAATGACAATCTAAAATATTTCTAATAATATTACTTTGAAATATATATAGTTTTACATAATGTTACATTAAAAAAAATATTATCATTTTTATTTTTATCTTAAATGTTTTTTAAAACTTTTAAAGCCTAATAAAACTAGATTATATATCAATATTGGGAAAATATTTTTATATTTTAACATTATCATTATTTAACTATTTAATATATTAATCATTCACAATATTATTATGTTAACTTAAATTACAAGTATTAAATCGTATATTCTAATTATATATTAAAAAATGATTTATATTATGATAAGAATTAATTTAATACATATTTTTTTTGTTCTTAAATAATTTTATATTAATATATAAAAAATAAGAATATATATATATATATATTATATATATATTTAATTTTTATTTTTATTTTTTTAATTTTTTTTCTCTAAAATATCTTTTTTAAAAATCTTTTTTATTATATTAATATATATTATATATTTAACATATATGTTATTTGTAATATTATTTTATTATTTAAAAAATTTATATTTATAATATATTTTTTTTAATTTGATTTAAAAATAAATAAATTTAATTTATTTTTTACAATAAATTATTTTTATAAAATTAATAGAAAATATTTACAAAGCAAAAATTTTTTTTTTTTTTATTCCTTTATATTTACTTTTTTTATTTTATTAAAAAAGAAATGTTATCTATCAAGTTTTATATAATTTTCACTTAAATATTTTCCTATGAAAGTAATAGCAATACTCGATATACCTACAATACATTTTTCTAACAAATTAAAAGTAGCTTTTATATTTATAATTTTAAAAGCATTATTTTCCTTTAAAAACTATAATTCAGAAATAATTTAATTATACTATAAAACTAAATCATTTAAATATGATTATATATCTATATTCTGTAAATTTTTAATTTCTTAATTTATTTTTTAAATTGCCTTAGAATATATAAAATTCGAAGATTTAAAATCTGATTCAAAGTATTTATTTTTCAGTCTACATATATCTTAAACAATAATCTTATTTTAATTTAAAATAAAATCATGTAAATCATACATGCTATTGATATAAGCCCCATAATAAAATATAATTATCAATATTATAAAAACTAAGCATGTATCGAAAATTATTAATACATTAATATATTCATCCATCTTAAATATTTCAAAAAATTATAAAGCTATTGATATTATTCCAACCATTCCCATAACAAAAACTCCTTAAAAAGTATATTATTGTCTAAATTCATATTTCTTACCATATTCTTGACATACTTATCGTAGTAATAACCATCCTTTTAAATTTAATCCTTTAAAAATATTTATTGTAGGGAATATTTTATCTGAATCTATTGATTTTATCTTTCTTGGAGAAATTAAAAAAGCTAATTATTCCATCATAAAAACCTTTCATTTTAATAAAAAAATTATATATATATAAATATTTTTTATTTTTTACTTTTCTTTTCATATCTACAATTCCAAAAATAATTTCATGAAATGTGTTACATTGTAAGTAATGTAAAGTTGACAAAAAAAGTAATAGAATAAATAATCCTAAACAATCTTAAATTGTATTAATAATATATGCTTATTTATAAACTAAAATATAAACTATTTTTATAATGCTATACCCTAAACTTAGATATCTTATACTTTTTATTATTGAACGATATTTTATTTAAAAAACTTCAATAAATTCTCTTAATATTCCAAATCCATAAAAAGTATACATATCGTTTCCATTAGATCCTATATATTCAGGTTGAAATTCGCTTTTTTAAACATGATAAATTCTTAATTTTTCACAATTATCATTTAACTTTTTAATAGTTTTAATATCTATATTCATAATAAATTCTATATAAAATAAGCTTTAATCTATATCGAAAATTCTAAGTGCATATTATATTTCTTCATAAATATTCTTTTTTGTTTATATATATATATTATTATGAAAAAAAAAAAAAAATAGATAATAATTACTTTATTTGTTTAAAGTTCCCAATCATCATGAAGCAATTCATATGTAATAATATCAAGATCATAATTATTTTATTTTAAAGATTATATTTTCATAGGGTCAAGAGTTGCATAATTAATACATTTAAAATAAATATTAAGAAACTAATAAGTAAAAAAAGTAATAATATCAGAGCTAATAGAAATAATTTTTGGTTTAAAAAATACCAAAAGGATTAGGACTGTAAAATTTATAGTTTATTAAATTTAATTTTTATAAACATATTTATTTTTTCCCCAAAATAAAAGATTTCTAGGAAGACCTTTTCCAAAACAAAAATATAATAAAATATTAGAAGAAGGCCCAAAAAAAATATAATATAATATATGATATATAAAAAACTCAAAAAAAATAGACCAACGAAATTTCACGAAATAATTTTTAATTGAATTACAGTTTATTTTCAATCTTTTTAATTATTTATTTTTTTTATTTTAATAATCTTATTCAAAATATTCTTCGATATTTACTTAGGTAAAATAATCTGATAAACTTTAATTCATGCGTGATTATCTACCAGTTATTTATAAATTATTTATTATTTCTATTCTATTCAATATTTCTATTTGCTCATGTGTTTATCTTTTAAATATTAATTAATCACTATTCATTTTTTCTTAATTATTAGTATTACTAATGGCTTTTTCGTTTTCATTTACATGTGTTTTTGTTGATTCTATTAAAGAGTCACCTTAAAGTTAATTTATTTATTATGTTACTGATTTTTTTTAATCGAAATTTATCTGTTCAAAGACTTATAAATTTTCTTAAAACATTTTAATTTTATAAATATATAATTTTTTATATTTATTTTAGTGAATTTTTATATGTTTTTTTAAATATATAAGATTTTTATTAAATTATAAATTAAATTGATTAAATAAATTTTGTATATTATTTTTTTAATAATGTGTTTTTTTTTTTTTAATTATAAAAAAGGACTAAAATAAAAAGACTTATACCTTTTAATTATGTAAATTAATAAAAAAATTATTAATAAAAATAAAAACATAATATAAACAATTAATATATTTATTTTAAATTTATTTCATTTCTTTAAATATATAAAAAATATGATATTTTTAATTATATATTTTAATAAAGTAGTTTTTATAGGAATATTATTTTTATTGTATAATGGAAATTAATAGAAATAATTAATAAATTAAATTAAATTTAATTAAAAAAAAAAAAAAAAATTATTTCTTTATTATTAAAGAAAAAAAAAATATTTAGAAAAAAATTTAATATAAATTAAAAATATTTTATTTATTTTTTTTAAAAAAAATAAGGAATTAAATTTAATAATTTTTAATAAAAAAGAAAATAATTATACAAATAAAAAAATTAAATCTAAGGAATTAAAAAAAAAAGATATTATTTTATATAAATAAAAAAAAAAAAATTAATGATTAAATCAATTATATTTATAGCAACTTGTGTCTCTTTCAACAGCAAACAAATCATCTTCCTAATTATTTAATTCTTCAATTTAATCTATTAGTTTTTCTCCCTTAGTTTCTTTTAAAGGAATAAGACATACAAGTCCGGCAATTCCAATAAATCCTAAAGGAACCATAGATGATAAATTAATTCTTAAGCATATTAGTTTGACATATGGTGCGGCTGTGCTACCTTTATTTATATTTTATTAAATTTAAATAATATAATATATATATATATATACATATATAAATATATATATTTATATAAATATATATATATTTATATATAAATATATATATTCATATATATATTATACCAATAGTTCCTGCAGATGAACTAAATCCTAAAGCTAGGTTTCTAACAGTTGTAGGAAATAATTCTGTAATATAAATATAAATAATAGACCATACAAAGCAAATAACGAATCTAATTATCTAAAATAAAAAATAATATAAAAATATTATTATCATCTTAATCAAAAAATAAAAAATATAACGCCAGCAATAGTAATTTAAAGTAATTTTTAAAAACAAATTTTATCTCCATAACAACTATCAGGTATCTTAATAAAACTAAATGAAAAGAAAGTATAATTACAATCAGTAATCCAATAAAACTAACACGTTTCTTTAAATAAATGGAATAAAATAATCTAATATTTATAAATTAATATATTATAAGTTCTATAAAAAAGATTTATATATAATAATAAATATATATATATATATTTTTATATATATATATATATAAAAATATATATATATACATATATATATATATAAGTATAAATTTGTACTTATATTTTAAAATTTAAAATCATTTGTTATGCTTCTTTTTTATTTCTATATATATATTAAAATAAATTTATTTTTTATATTTATAAACTATTTAAAAAATTGCGAATAAAAATTACTTTTTAATATTACTTATAATGATATATGAAATTAACTCACAAATTCCTATAATTATCGAATTTATATAAATATTAAATCCAACAGATGTTATAGCGAATGTAATTCCATAATAAATCATCTGCATTGTCAAAAATACAATTGCACAGCATATATTTTTAACTCTCAAACTTTTATATTTAAATAAATCTATAACAGAATAAGAATTATCTTTATTATTTTTAATTACACTTTATAATATATCAATTTATAATTGTTTTTTTTATTAACTTTAGCTATTTTATTTAAAACAGAAAGTCCTTTTTGATTATTTTATTCATGTAAAAATTTTGGTGACTCATAAATTAAAAATGCACCTAAATTTAACAACGCTATAGGCACAAGAAAAGTATATAAAATCAAACTTCTCCAATAAGGCATAAAATAGGCTATTAAAACTAGGTAACACTCTCCCAAAGCAAACGCTACTTAAACCCCTGAAGATGTATATTCCCTAAATTTGCCCAAAGAATGCTCATTTAGGAATGAAAAATGAATCGTAATAGCCGGATTAGCCCCTAATCCTTACAAGAAAAGTCCAATAAAGCAAAAAACAAGGCTCTTATTAGTCACAGCAATCAATACAGTACTTAAAGTGGCAATAAGCCAGCTTATAATCAATGCTTTTTTCCTTCCTTTATTATCCGCATACCAAGAAAAAAAAAAAAACCCAATTAAACTTCCCGCATAAGTTAAAGAACTCATAATCGTATATATATAAGATCTATTACAAACTAAAGGAGGATCATAATAAAAAATAAGGGAGTTTTCATTATACTTTATATAATCTATAAAATTCACCTAATTACAAACCCAATCATAATTGCATTCTTAGTTAGATTTTTATCCTTTACAATCATATTCAGGATCCATAAAAACGAAATTAGATTACAATAAAATCATAGCAGTAAAAAACCATTATAATGAAAACCATAGAAAAGCACGGATTTAATACCAATTGGCACCGCCTACT